ACTAGAAAAAAAAATATTGTTTCATTGCACTATGAAACAATAAACGTTGGCACAGTTATACCCTTAACCAGGGATTGTTGTAAAATATTAGACTAACACAGTCAAAGAGTACAGATCTCCAATCCAGAATGACTAGTTTGGCCTAGTAGATATACCCCAAATGAAAACTTGTATGTATTCAATTATGCATATTTATTATATAAAAACGCTTGCAAAACCTGCAGATCTCCTGTCTGCAACCTTTGTAAACCCTCCTTTTCTAAGCATACCTAGACTTTCTGTGGCTGTCCAATCACAGACTCCCCAATGCAGCTCAATGAGAAGTCTTTGCAAGGCACGTGCTCTGAGCAGTTACTGCCTCCTGAGGTTAGCTTCACTGAGCTAAACAAACCAGGAAGTAAAAGGATCTGCTGTTTGCTCGCCAGCCAGGGCTGCGTAACCAGATTAATTTATTTCTATTGAAATCTGCTGTTTTTGTAAAATGCAAAAAAGAGGAAACACTCTTCACACATAAAAGTTTTCAGCAAGCTAAAGTGCTTTAGGAGTCTGAAGTGTCACTTTAATATTGCAGTCAAATAGTACAATTTTCAATTCCCAGATTAATTCATTAGGCCTAAAATTTAACATTTGCTTAAACGAGCAGTGACATTTAAAAAAAATTTGTAATATGGTTAAACCATCCTTGAAATTCCCGCACTAACTGAGCACACAAAAGGGCATTATTCACTAAACAGTGCACTGCAATGACATGACAAACAAATTGAAAGTTTTGTACCAAAACAGCTGTAGCTGAAAAAGGTTACGCTATTTTTGCTGTAACATTTAGGCAACTTTAGTCACAGCTTGGCTGCTTGAGCCTAAATATTGCAGATCATTTTTCAATTTGTGTACTGCATAAATCCCTTCAATTTCAATGACCATAGTTCACTTTTTATTGAATGAACCCCACAAATTGATTCTCCTCTTGCCTTCTCATAAAAATAAACTGATGCATTCAAGTCCAAGAAGAATCCTAATGTTTTGGCAGAGATTCTCCAAGTGCAGTATTTTAAAGGATTCACCTTGAACCATTCACGTTGCCTTTTGAGAAGGAAAGTCGCTTGCTAAGCACTTCCTCCTACTTCTCTACAAAGAAACAATGAGACATCGTTTTGTGATTTATCTTGTTCTATTCGCTCAATGCACAAGTTTCCAATAATATGCATAAAAAAAGATAATCAATTTTATAGCTTCTTTGATTGATTGATTGATTGATTGATTGATGCACCAAGCACTGAATGTGCCACAGCAACACAGCTAGAATATAATTATAAAAAAAGACACCGAGGCCCAATCTTGTCAAATCTACTTAACCCCTTTCCTTTAACTAGATGAACGATTTGACAAGGCAATTTTAAGTAAAAGCTTGTAATGCTTAATGGCTAGTTGGCTTGCTGAGTGATATGGGAGTTGTAGTCAAGAGCTGCGAGAAAGAGTTTGCTTATCCTAGAACTGACACGTAGTTAGGACAAGCATCAGTTCCAAACAACAGCACATCAGTAGATCTGAGAATTGACTAGAGAAGAATTGTAGTTTTAAGTTAAGTCCTTTCCTTATAGCACAGCGCCCACCTTCGGCAGAACAAGGTATTGCAACCACAAGATCTCAACCAAGTCAAAGAGAGAATACAATGCAGGCTTTGTATGTCATAAAACTGTTCTTTCCCATTAAATTGTATAGCTTGCTCACTTCCTTCAGCTTGATCTCGCAGCTGTGTGGACAACATCAAATGAAGGACCAGAGTCACATAAATGGTCCATCTATACTTTATCCATCAATCCAAATAAGACACACCAGTAAAACGCTAAATGTTGCTTAGAGGGAATCTATCTTATAAAAATGAGGATGTTGCATCTTCTTAAAATACAATCTGATACAGGATCACTCTGAGCCTTTCAAAAATCCCAACTTCTTACATCAAAATGTTTTCACAGTAACAAACAGCTGTAGGTAATAATGTGCATTTTGTTAAACCCACTCATCGATGGTAAATACACATACGTATGGGTTGATGTCATCAATATCACACTTGAGGGGTTAACAGGTATAAACAGAAAGAAAAACATGGGCTTACCTTCCTGAAATGCTTGAAAGGGGTTGTTGGCTTGTATAAACTTGATCGAGTAGGTAATCTTTTCGCTTTGTAATATGTCATCATTGAGACTCAAATCTGAAATAGCCAGCTGGAAGATCTCATCGTCCTTGGCAGCATTCTCTTCGAATATTGCACCTGTTGTGAAAATGATGATGAGTGGCCTAGATTGCAACACAACTTTGAAAAACATGACATCTCCTCTGGTGGTCCCTTTACATCAGTAGAACTTTGGGACCTTTCTTAGAGTTGGAATTCTTGCACATAGTTTGTAATGACCATTCTGATGTGGACATCAGACCACCACCACTCAATAATCATTATTCCCGAGGAAATTAAGATTGCATCTAAGAATGTGGCTATTTAAAGTATTTTCAATCTGGTTAAACATTAAACAATCACAATATTGAGAAACACAACGCTTCAGGAAACCAAATCAATTCCAATTTCTGAAAATATGAAGAACATTTCTCTATTGATGCATTTTTTTTAATTTAACAATTTATGGTCTATGAAAGAGACATGACTTAAACCTGTAAAAGGACTTTATAATTAGGATCATGTCGGTAATAATTGGTTTGAAATTATGACTAATAAATATTGCAGAAAATATATTAAGGGAGAATGAAGTAGGATTGGTCTTGCCCTTTGGTCTTCAAATACATAGAGAGATGTGTTTGTACAAAGGGGATTCCAGAGGTCGTTTTATTAATAGGTTATTTTAATGACTCTTTGGGGACATGCATGTTATTGAAGAGTGTTTAAACACTCTACATCAGTAAATCATACATGGAGCAGGTTAAGTCATAGTTGTAGAGACAGGAGGAAGTTCTTATAGACAGTCTTGTTCCATGTGGGTAATTTAGACTACCAGAGACAGGCTCTGCAGGTCCTCTATTTATCAAGTCTCCAAATGGCGTGGACAGCCCCGTCTATCGATGGACATCTAAACAGACTTATTTATAGAGAAGAACACACCATGCATTTACTGTCAATATTCAAGGGAAACACAGGCTCTCTTATTACTGACGAGCAAAGTACAAGGGGGTGCATGCAAGGAATGTACAAGGGCATCATTTGAGCAAATATTCCAGCTCGATCTAAGCATATCTTGTTGGTCTGTGTCATCTCTCATCTATAAATATGCTGTAAATATCCTGGGTTTGTAACAAGCCAATAACCCCAGGAAGAAACATTGTCACAGTACAAAATAATTTATAACGACTAGCACAAGGAAAAGGAGGAGGCAATCTGTATTCCCTTGCAGTATGCGTGTGTGTATATAATTAAAATATAAACACATCAGGTTTATGAAGTTCCCAGGCTTATTTAATGGATCCGCAATGCTGTCTGCCTGGGCTTGCTCATGTGGGTTCAGGGCATGAATGGGCTATTGTGGAGCTCCAGTCATCAAACCATGTCAGATCTTTCTCAAGCCCATGTCTTCAACCCACACAGATATATCACCTTTCAGCCATTTCTGTGTGCTCAATGCTGTGTCTGAATCTCTCACATTCTAGATTAGTTCATTGTTCATCTGCTTTATCTGACATTAATATTACCTTGCTACCCACCTTCTCTGCCTCTCTCAGTTGTCTAAAGTCCAGGCTAAGCTGTTGTATCTCACTTGATCTGGCCCCTGGTTATCAATCTTTGGTTAGATGTAATCTGCTTGGCATTTTATCTGTTTCTATCAAGATGCAGTTGCAACAATCCCAGCTCTCAACACAAAATCCTTCATTCTATCTATTTCAATGCATGCAGTATGTCTCCTAACAGTCTAACAGTCTTTTTTTTTTCTACCATGTCTACTATGTATTTTTTTTTAGCAGTCATCCCTCCATCAGTCACTAAAACATACAGATAGAATGTGACAAAGTTCCCTAAAAATCAAGCCCCCCCCCCCCAATGCTGTGTTTGCGACTTAAATATCCAGATTATGGCAGTTTGCAGCTGCAATCTCTTGCTTGGGAGATTTTCTAAATCAGATATTATCTCATCTCCAACAGTGATTGTACACCCCAGCCCCCAATTCAGCAGAACTTGATCTTTGATCATCATTTTACTGTATCCAACTCTGTCCATGGTCCTGTTTCAGAAGTCCCCCCCTTTTTTTTCCACCACTGCAAGCAAACAAGTTTGTTCACATCCCAAGAGCAATTTTCATTAAACTAGAAATCAAGCACTCCAATGGGAGTCAGCCTGTCCTGCTTACAATACCCTCTCCACAATCAGAACATCAGCATCCTTGACCATTCTATAGAACTTTCCCATCACACAATCACAGATACATTGTTGCATCATATAGAACCAGGAGTTTATGCTGTTGTAGCAGCCTGGTATTGAGTTAAAGAAGTCAGACCCCCCTACCCCTTTTAGATCCAGGGTGATCAGATCATTCCATACTCCTGGGGTGTCCTTTTTTTTTTTTTTTTCTCTTACCAATGTGTATGATGGAGTCCGCCCGCACAGAAATGCATTGAAATATCCAGGGGAAAATACAAAGCATCAGGACTTCCATTTCCCACCTCTAAGACAGAACATCAGCTCGAATTTGTTGATGAAAGATAAGATGAAAAAAAAAAAAGATGTAAAAAAATATATAGCTCCCAATAAGGCAAACGATACAGTAAAAAAAAAAAGAGAGAATAAATGAAATATAGTGCAGATCCTGTTTGTTATTGTTATTGGTTTTCTGTTTATAATAATAATAATAATATTTTGCTTAGACAGGGAAAAAGCATAGACTTGCAGCTCTCTTCAATACTCAGTGTGTCTGAGATTCAACAAACAGAAAACTGCGGTGACCCCCCTTCCTTCCCCTCCCTTTCTCTCCTACCACGTGATTGCAGAGACTCCACTCGATATAGTCTTGGTGAAAACGGTGAGACATGGAGAGATGGGCTCAGATAGAGAACAGTGGAGCTTACAGTTGTGTGGGAGCATCTTCTACTGATATAAACACTAATAGACATACAGGAGGGAGATTGCTGGGAGACTGGAGGGAGAGGGGGGTCAGAGCTGCACATTCAATATACACAGCTATGTGAGGCTGGATGGAGAGATCTGACCTATCTGGGTGGTAAATAGAATTACAGATCATTGATTTTTATTATTTTTGCAAAAAGGAGGAGGTTAAAAAAAATATTTAGGCTACCAGGCTGGCTGTGACTATGAGCCAACTGATGGGGTTTGGTTCTAGACTAGAGACATTTAAACCATGGTCTGATTTAAGATGAACATTGAAAGCCCAGAGAAGGACAGTGTGAAGAGATCTGGAGTGGATCACAGTTAGGTCTTCTGCTGCAAGTTCTGGACAGCTGATGGCAGGAGGTGTGTGCCTAGTTTTCTGCGGAGGAGTGAAGTTTGGGGACCATGACTGACATCACTCTCAGCCATAACATCATCTAATGGTTCTGCAGGAAAGTTGTGCTCAGTTTAGCCCTCCTTCTGCCTCTCTCCTGCTTTGAAGATACTAAAGATGCTAAAGGTACTTTGGGATTAAGGACATGGGAGGAGAAGGTAAGGGGTTAATGCTGTCTCTCTGATAACCTGTAAAGAGAGTTTGGACTTTTGCTGCTGATCCTGGAGAGTGCCACTGACAGACTGCTGGGGATCTGGCTTCCCTGGGTTTGTGCAGGCTTGTAATTAGTTGGGTTATCTTCCTACACATGTATCTAAATGTCAAGAAGAAGCTTTTCTTAACCCCCTACTGGAGTTAGGAGCAAAGAGCCTGCACAGAGCCAGAATTCAGATATCAGCCTCCCTACATACTGGGGTCCTTTCATCAAACACAGATCCATCACTGATTGCACAGCTATCCAAATGTGAGAGGCGTTTAAACATGCACCACCTCTAGGAAAAAAACAATTAAATACTAATCCACAAAACAGGATCTGTACAAAAAAAAACTAAACAAGGCAGACTGGGATTGGTGTAAAAATGGCTGGCTCAGAGTGATGGGAAGGAGGACTTGCCCATCATATCTTCATCAGATGTTTTTTTGTTTTTTGTTGGAACAGTTTCACCATATTTTTCTGTATTGTGTATTTCTCAGAGATCCAGAGTGAAGTAGATCTAAGTGTCCTATCTATTTCATGGCTGCAAATCAGCTTTGATTACACTGAGAATGCACGTTGAGTGTAATAAAGTCTGCTCATTTGCAGCAGGAAAGATCTCTAATTAATGCTTCCTTAATCAGCATCCAACTATGATATCCCTCATTAGTAAAATCACATCAGGCAGTCTGTGCATTGGAAAAGGCAGTGGAGATAGAAAAAGGGTGTATCTCTTTAAGATAAGCCACTTACCCACTACCTACATTTGTATAATTTGGTTCCATGCTCTTCGTGCCCCAGTGATCAGGGGGAAGATCCCAGAACCTAGCTGATATACCAGGCTCTCTGCATGATGGACCTCTTGGCATATATGGATTGTATTCACACAGCAGGTAATGGATCCAAATACCTTACTACCTATTTTGTTAGAAGCCATTTGCCAGCTGTGGTTAAGCCCAAAGCATTAGACTATCCATCACATGATAAGTGCAGCACTGTGAATTTAAGGACCATTTTTGCTGTGTAAAATGCAACATTAAACTCTGATTTCAAGTGGGATAAGGAGTTTAAACAAGGTTGACTTTGGAGAGGGTGATGTTAAGGTAACAGCTGTAATATTTAAAAAAAAAAAAAGGGGGGGGGATGAATTTAAGATGTAGTTCATTGCACAGAAAGATGAACTGCGTTTTGCCTTGAATAATCAATGGGATTAAACAATGAATCATGCCTACTTTTGAACTATATTTGATGCTGTCAGACCCAATACTGTATGTTGAATAAAGCTTTTGTGTGAATGAAGGTTTTGTTCATTTGTAGGCAGTCATGAGGACTGGTGAGAATTATTGACTGTGTTTTCTCTCTCTCTCTCTCTCTCTCTCTCTCAGAATCAATGATCTAATACAGAGTGTAACATGAATGGCTCAATGTAATATTAAAAAAGTATTCTTTATTTCTTTGTATTGGAAATTATAGATTTCAAACAATAACAGACTTTCCTATACATACAGGGGCACAAAAATGAAATATGTTTCTTAATTATACGGATATATATGAATTCTAGGTGACGAGATCCACGTATCACCATGGAATAAATTAAATATACTTTATATTCATTTATATGGATGCGTGACACGCTAGAGTTGTGTATAAAGGTTCATTTGGCTGTATTTTCTTAAAGTGGAGAATCGCCATGGAAATCAATGCAAAGTCCCTGCTGATTGCTCCATTTTCAGAACTTCATAGAGTCCCACCATCCCAATGTTGTTGATCTGCTCTACGAGAAGCAAGTTGTGACCGTTGGTTCCTGCAACTCGACAGACGTTTATTATGTTCTTGATTTATGTCAGATAAGTTGGGTAGTGAAATACAAGGTTATTTAGTAAAGTTACATTTAAATTGTATGTAAAATTTAAGGACGAGGTAGCTGGTCGAGAAAAATTCTCAACTAGGTTTTCATTTTAGCTTCTCTGGACTTAAATTTGAAATTTGGTTTAAATTCACTTTGAATTCTTACTTTAGTGACTAAGGGTGACTAATTCTACTGAGGAACATGTCCACCAGCAGTGGTGGCTTCAGTTCCTTCTCTGTTGGTCCTTCTCTGTTGGTGAACCCATGGTTTAAATCAATGTACTCATCCTTATCACATTTAAAATCCCTACACTTTGCATTTTTAAAAACTCCACTCATACCAACTGGTCCCTGCCGAATGTTTTTTAATATCAAACAGGTGTTTAGCCAGTTGTTCTACATGAAGGTCTACATCATATTGACCAATAGACACATGATGCCTCAAAAACATTCAAATCGTCTACGTTGTTTAGGGAATCTGTTATGTAAACAAATGGTTTAAAATTGCATTCTTTATTTAGTCCAAATACACAGTTTATTGTAAGAATCCATCCTGGCTTCATATGAATGAATATACCTTCTCATTAACTTGTCACACTCTCTTGATGGGCATAATGTCATATCAGCCTCAGAAGGGAAAATGAGAAGGTAGGTGACTTTGAGGTCAAAAGGTGAGTGACTAGATTATAAGGTGAAGGTTTTTCAATTTTTTTCTAAAACTATGATAGTGTTTAAAGAATAAAAAGACTTAGCATATTTTCAAGGAAAAAATAGTATGAGACAAAAAAAAACCTTGATTTAATTTTGGTTAAAGAGCTGGGTAAATGTGATTGAAATAGATGTGTAGAATTTACCAAATCTATACATTGATTGTAAAAGTCCATGAATTATAGATAAAAAGGTCTTAGAAAAAATATTCTATTCCCTTTGCCATACAGCTCTATATGCAAATTAATTATAGCACTAAATTTGCATATGGGGAAACGGAGTGATGTCACTAATGTGTAAGAAACTAATTTAAATGTATTTTTTTCCGTTTGAGCCTTACAACTGATTGAAATATCTTTTGTATCCTGCATATACACAGGTACACTGTTTATTACTTTGCAAAAGGAGTAGTTGATACTCTAAACAGGCATCCGGCAGCAGTGGTAAAGGAAGAGACTTCAAGTACTCTTATGAAAAAATATATACTTTGAGAAATCATTTCAAACAGATTACATGGGTTTTACCTGCTGTAACAAACGATGTTTCTACATATTTGTCTTTAGCTGTTAACTTTAATGCCAACATAAGAGAGCTTTTTGGGGTATGATCTCAGCTTAAAGTGCCTTAATGCAGACATTAGAATGTTCTAGAGTTTTAAACGTCATCAGAATAATTCATTTTTTTCCACATCTATGAATATATAACTGTGAGAGAATATAGATTTCTAGCGTTCGTATACACAAGGGACTTGTCAAGCCAGCTTCTTAAAACTATATTACATGGAATTAATATTTCATTTCGTGTGCTAAGCGTAATACATTTTTAATGCTGAATTTGAAAATATATATTTTTACCGTAGACTTTTGAATAATATTTCACATTTGTTTGTTTTTTTTAAAAGACAATATTAGCCTCAAAATATATAACTGGACCTTGAACGGACAAGAAAACAGCTATTAAAAAAATCGTCAGATAAAGGGTAAATGCTGAAAAATGCAAACTTCTTTTTTTTGTTTACATTAAATCGGGGCTGAAAGCATGTGAATTTCAAAGGTCTTGGCTTCCAAATATCTTAAAGTTGCCTTCCATTGTCTGAAATGTTTCAGCACCGACATAACAAAGGAAATGAAATGTAATACGGAATTCATCTTGACATTAATATGTAGACTACTGAAATAATGGATTATGTGATTGTATTGAAGGTATTGTACACAGAATACTTTACAGTTAGGTATCAGAGAATTGCAATCAGGCCAAACACGTAGACGCCTGTCATCACAGAGGTATTATCCCTATCTACACAGTGAAATGGGATTATATTATAATTAGCATTTAAGATGTGGGCAACCAAGAAATGTATTATGTGACCAAGGGATTTTCATATATATAGGTTGGCAAGACTTGCATTATTAGCAATTCCTCTACGCTGAAAATAGTTTTAGTTCAGAGGAACGTATATGTGATCAGTAGGTAAGTATTGTATGGATCTGTTAAAGTGATGATAGGGTTTTATGGTAAACTGAAGAGAATGCTGCTAAATAGATGTGGACAGGCTGAGAGTTGTAACAACTGAATAGATGTGTGTAAGCATATGCTCTCAAAGATTAAGTCTATATTAAAGGGACACTGTAGTCACTAGAACCACTGTAGCTTAATATTGTTGTTCTGTTGAGTACAGTCAGTTTACATTATAGCCTACGAACACCTTTAGTGGCAGACACTCAGATGACAACTAGAGGTGCTTTCTGGGTCAGTGCTTAACACTGTACAGCACTGACTTTCAGAATTTCCACACTCTGCATGGAGGTTCTGAATGTTCCTCAGATAAGAAGGAGCTGATTGGTGCACCGCGACATCAAAGTTTCCTAAGGGAAAGCGTTCTATTGGCTGAATTCTTCAATTTTGATGATCTCAGCCATGGAGGTAGAGCAGGGGGCAGAGCCAGCTGCTGCGGACCCGCGTGGCATTGGAATAAAGGTGGGTTTTACCTTTTTAATGAGGTTAAGGGGGGCTTGCCATCTAAAATGTGTTTTAATACTAATGTCAGAAATACAGAGTATTATTCTTGACACTGTAGTGTTCCTTTAAGTGCAAATTAACGTAAGATTTGTTTTAAATGTTGAATACATAGCTACCAAATGGCCAAGCTTTATATTTATTTTTTCATTATTTTTATTTTTTATCTTTCACGGAAATATTGAGAGAAATAGGCGGAAAAACACACTGTTTTTAAATATTCATAGGCAACCGAGTTGCATTTTTAGGAAAGCAGCTTCCTAGACATAGCAATAGAATATAAAAATGAACAAGTACGCAAGTAACAGGTGCAATAAGCCCCCATACTATACATGGCTATGTAGGTTGTTATAAAAGAAAAACACGCAGTATAATGGTCCCATTGTTTTGTTTGACTTTTTGGTTTTTTTTTCATAAGAGGGAAATGGTTTCTTCACTATTGTTGTTGGCTTATTCATTCAATTCACATATTTACACATTTTTGAAATGTTAAATTCTTGTAACATTCTTCTTGTTGTGTAGTTATTTTTTTTTATTTGCCTGGGTACCCTATCCCTATATTTAATGAGGTTGAACTTATAGGAATACACACTTGCAAATAGTACTTTTCAAGATGTCCTGACGGTCTCTAAATATGTTCTGGTATGGGGACTACCGCCAAAAAGAAAAATGTAACATAATTAAAGGAGCAGAGTCCAGGAGAGACGAGAATCCGAATTCTCAAAGCCAATAGGAGGCATAGCAAGCTCATGATGAATACCAGTCCACAGCTAGGGCAGCAATGGTACATGAGTAGGCTAGTTGACTATGTCAGTAAACCCATAGTCCAATCAGCAGATGATGTGCTTATTTAATACAAGAGTGCAAGATACAGAGAAATTGGGGTGAATGCAGGAGTAAACTCAGAGTAGTACATATTAATGGACCTGTGAATGATCCATTTTGGGATCAGGTTTAGGAACAGAAGCAGGGTCCATTGAATATCACTGAACTTCAGACACAAAGGTAGAATTACCAACTAATAAAAACTCTCCTTGAGGTTGCCCAGCCTGGGCAGTGGCGATGGCACATGTATGATATGGGAAACAAGTTACTACTTAACAGACACAAGTGGAGCAAAACCAGGATTCCAGTCTCGTTATAAAGATGCTGGTGTCATTTCAGTGAAGATGTACACCATGCAAAACATGCCCTTTTAAAGAAAAACCCCACTATCCAAATGGGGAAAAATATACAAACAACGGTTTAGTAGATATATCCCCCTCATTTTGAAGCCTCTAAAGGGAAGCACTCGTGTTTGAGTGCTTCTCTGATATGGGGTCTGGAGCTGGATGTTCTCATTTGAGGTCTGGGGGAACTGGGTGAGCTGATCTGAGGTCTGTGGGGGAGGAGGCAGGTGCGGCTCAGGGGAGCTAACAGTAGGAGACTGCAAATCTCATTGGCTGTTTGAGTGACAGCCTGGTGGATGTTCCACAATTTATTTATAAAAGTGTGAATTTTCTTACCCTTCCACCACTCCAGCATCACAATCTCCCCCATTTTCACCATAGTATCACCATCTTATTCCTATCCAACCCAGTCTTACCATTCCCATAACCAAGTTTTACCTTACCATATCCACCACCACCATGCTAATGTCAAATGTCATCATCGAGTCCCTTCTCAACTGTATTACACTCTTGTCCCTCTCCCCACCTCCCACCCCAGTGTCACCAGCTTTATGACACAGTATCACACTCTGGCAGTATCAGGTTAGTGTTAGAACAAATACATATTAAAACAGAAGTCATTTAAATTAAACTTTAACAAGAATGAAACTTTTGGTGCAACTCTTCCATCTTTCAAT